CACCTTTGGAGCAGACGTACTTCTTTCACTTCCTAGAGGCAGTGGCTGTGTTTCTGTGGGAGATAAGGTCAAATTAGTAGACATATTTTTATAACTTGTAAATCAATCAACAGCAATTCACATTTAGTGGAGCACTTTAAACGGTTTTTTTTTGTTCTCTCACCGTTAAAATCAGATTGCCATACTAAAATCCAGAGTTATGAATTACAGGTCATGAAGCATGTGCAGATTTTCGGCATTTAAGAAGCGGTCAAACTCATGAATTCAAGGAAACTCTTACCGTTCATAATTGCTTGTGGCAGTTACACGATAACCTAGAAATTAGGCTTGAAATGATTGTTTTGCTAAGCTTTAATAATGATTAACCCAACAGTGAGGGACACTACACACTAAAGTAGTAGTACAACTGGCCCAGTATCACCTGGACTTATGTCCATATTGAATGATTTTGTGCCTCATTATTGAAGGTCATGCTAGTGTGGAAGAACGTACCTTTTAGGAAGTAAAGCGTTAAGTATGTCTCTATGGTGGATGCTGCAGCATGTTTTACTTGTAGATCAGGAGCTACAATTAGCATTTGTGTTTAAACAATGAATGAACTTTCTTTAACCTGAATCAAGTTAGTTGCCCAACACATTTTCCAATAATAGCGCACTCTTTCCTGAAGCATAAAACAGATAACTCTAATTGATATTTGTTATAATACCCGTGTATGAAATGATGATGTGAAAACAGCAGCCAGCCTTATGGAGCCTTTTAGCAAATTTCATCTCATCGTTTAGCTGTCTGGCTTGCAACATCACCATTTGCTTTAATCTCACCACTCTCATTGGGTTGTTTTTGGCCACAGCAGGCAGCTTTTTGCAACAAAAAAGCTCCAAAGACCCAAAGTACACTACCTGCTGAGCACCAATCAGCAGACAGACACAGGTAGCGGCTAGCTGGTGAGCACTGTGGAACATTTAGCAGCTAAAGAGACAGATAGTAATCATGGATAAATTCAGAGCTGCTTTTGTTCTGTGCACAGCTGCCCTGACACATTTGCTTTTTAAGTACAAAGCAGGATTATAGGGTAGGTGTTGCTGGACAGTGCGGTCTAAGAGTCACTCAAAAGAGCTGACATGGTCTTGATAAGTATTATGCCACGGGGCAACTCACCACATTTCTGTTTATTTCTGCCGTTAAAGAGAGCTGACGGTTGCTGTTTCTGTAAACACTTAGCAAGATACACAGACTAATGCTGCTGAATAAGATTATAAACAGCTCACTCGCCTCCCTTCTTTACCTCTGACAAGAAGTGAATAAGCTTGCAGAACTTCAAAATGCCCACACTAATCGTCATTGTGAATTCCTATTTTCTAGCCAACACAGCCAACTGCTACAAAATGATAATAATCCTCCGTGTTGGCTTAACTGAAATGTCTCCATCCAGTCTCTTACACACTCTGCAAGCAAAGAAAATTAACATGTGTGGAAATGCAAAGCCTATATTTACAGTAAAGCCAAGGAACCAGTTGAGATGATTTAAATCAGGGCATTGAAAATGAAGCCTGTCCTTCCAGAGAAATACAATCACAATTTCGACCCTTTTAATTAGTTAATGAGCAATTTATATGTAGGAGGACAAACTCAGAGCAGATATGCTGCACATGAGCTCCCTTGCTTCTGCTTAATTGATCCCCAATTAGCCATTAATTATTTGATCACCTCATTTAGTGTGCGTGTCATTGGTTCATGTGTCAGCTCAGTCAGTGACAAGTTAGCTCTAATTAAAGAGCAGGACACTATAAGCAGCCTAGAAGAAGCCATTTACAGGCAGGGGAGAGCTATAGATATTCATGAGATTGTTTTAATTTGTAATAAAGACCTAAATTACCCACAGTGTTGAGAATATGGGCCTTTTTGTTGTAGCAATGCGGCGCTGGTTCTCCGTACGTCTGCGCTCTTGCCAGCGGCTGGACAGAATGTGTCCATCTGCCTTAAATGGCCATTACGAAGGAATAATGTGCTTCAACGGTACTATAATTAAAGTCATCTGGGTGACCATGCAGGGGCAATTTTAGTCTTTTTCTAGAAGGTTATGTTAGAAGAACTGCCTGCCTTGGTGAGCTTGAGATGGAATTGAAGGAATAGAACCAAGTTGTAAAGGAAGAGTTTTTCTTTGAGTAGTTGTTCATAACTCAGGTGTACTTGGATAACAAAAAGGATTTCATTGTTGATAGTTTATGGAAGTTATATTTAGGTGTCCAGAGGCCCCACATTCCAGAGGGAAATGTTTACACATTTATAATTAGTTGTGAAATCACATAAAAGGACAATTAAGTCAATGCTGTGGATCCCTTTCATCCGGTCCACTCCTGTTGAGCCAAATTGATTGGTTTCCGTGCATTTTTTCCAGAGTTGAAATGATTAGTTAATTGATAGAAAAAGTTATTTAACTTAAAGTGGAGCTATCATGCTATATTTGAAACATATATTGTAGGGCCATACCTATACAAAACATTTTTTTCAAAATACCAAACAGATCACCCATTGTAGCCATGCCTCATACTGCTCAAATCCCTCTTTTGAAGCCCTGTTAGAGAAATGCAGATTTTGGGTCCTTAGCTTGAAAAAAAAGAAAGAAGAGGAGGCGGAGCTAATGCCTGATCAGAATTCTACCAGAGATAAAGTTAAATTCTGCTGTGATAAAACGCCATCCTGTTTAAACCACGCCAAGGATTATTTCTGAAACAGTATGGAGCTCAAATGCTTTTTCTCTGGCAGGTTTATCACAAGGTGAGTTCTTTTTTTATTTCCTGCTTTTTAAACACATGTGCTCTCCAGTACAGGTTAGCTCTGAGTGTTAGCGAGGCTTGCTAATGTAAACAAAGACGTCCAAAACACGTCAGGCATTGTTTCTGATAGCAACTTTCTGTGGGTCCGCCAACGTCACCTCGGATGGAAATCTGTATCCGCTCGTTGTACACCCGTTTTTAAAAGATTTGGGTACGGAGGAAAAGAGAGAAGGTTTTATTTTCTGACGCTGCGTGAGTTCCCCGACACACCGGGGACACATATTTATGTATAAAAGACATCACAAAGGGCATTTTGCATGATAGGTCCCCTTTAAAGTTAAGTTGAAGCTCATATGAAGCAAATTATTAAGTATCTTAAACAGTCTGGTGTAGATGTATTACTGCTGTTTCATACCAGCAATATGTCCACATAGAATCAAGAGGAAACACACAGAGGAGATTTCATACTCACCTCTAAAACAAAACACAAAGGCCGCTGTATAAAGCGAATGGTAGAATTGACGACCCATGTGCTGGGGCTTGGTCCCTAAGTGGAGGTCCATGGTTTAAATCTGGCTCAGGACACTTTGCAGCATGTCATCCCTTCTGTCTTCCCGTTTGAATTCTGTCTGTACAATAAAGAGAATTGTCGCCCAAAAACCCACAAGAGAGCCACGTCCAGATTCTACCATTTATTACACATATTACATTCTTAAATAAAAATGCTCCACTTAACAGTTCTTGCATAGATATCTTACAATACCAATTTAGAAAAGAATTATGAAACAGACCAGTAACAAAAATAAATTTTCTTCTTCCTTAATAAAGAACATTACCATACTAACATCATATAATACAAATAATATTTTAAACACTTTGTACAGCAAAACATTGTAAATAAAACAAGAGAACTCAATATAAAAAATAAATAAAATGTCAACAGAGGTGACGGTAACAGAGAGAGGAAGGCGGTGTGGAGTGAAGGTTTATGGATCAAAGGTTGATATGAAAGCTATCGGAGTAGCAGAGCCCCTGCAGGACGGGATGTTGTGATGGTGAAACACACCTGCTGTCTTCTCTTTCCTCTACATGTCGACTCATCCCAGGAAATATATAGTTGTGATCCTCTTACAGATATAGTTCACTGTGGTGATATGAAGGTGATAAAACACAGCTTTCACTAAATTACAAGTCTGGATTAGTCACTTTTCCCCCAATGTGTGGCAAAATAATTGGCACCAAAATTATTCTGTGTCTCAGGAAAATATTTGTATACCATTAGCACACACATTTGAGTGTGGGTCTTAATTTAATAAATTGTATTGTTTTAAATGATATGTTACTCACTAGAAGCATTTCAGAGATTTTGGAGATTGTATTTAATACAGTTTCACTACAATATCCACTTGGGCAAGCAAGATTCTCATGCACATTTCTAAAACCTCAAGTTTAGTATCCTAGATCTCTGAAAAGCAGCTGGTGAGCAGCAACATGTAGTCATAACTGACAGAAACAATGGGCAAAATTGTGAATATAAGACCAATATTGGAAAAAGAATTCAGGAAATGTAGTTCGACACCGAAGAATCCTGTGGACAGTCGATTAGTTCAACACATTTGTTTTGATACCAATCCTTTTGCGCAGACTTAGAGGGGTCAAACAACTGGTAGTACAACAGAAAGTAGTTCTCAAGCTATACCCTAAAAGAATGAATCGGGCATTAACGGCCCGTCTACACAGCGGCGTGCGTTGAAGCTTGCCGGCGGTCGTGTCTGAAACTCGACCGACAACTAATCACATGAATCTCCCGCCCCTGACACACAAGCAGCGGTTTGATTGGCTAGAGCTTGTACTGGCATATGATTCGATTGGCTGACGCTTCTGCCGAGGCTTCAAAAGTTGAATATTGCTCAACTTTTGCAGCAAGCCGCACCAGCAAAGCTCCGCGTCGCTTCCCACAATGCAGTTCGGCAAAAAGTGACGTCACCCCATTCAAAGTGAATGGTGAAGCTTTCAACGCACGCCGCTGTGTAGACGGGCCGTAAGATCTTACAGATAAATTAATCTGACATATGGAAAAGCCCCTACAAGGATCGGTCGACCAAACCTAAACTGTACCTATCGACTGGACATGTAGTTGGGAATGTGGAGAAGTTTTAGTAGTCTCACCAAAGAACTGCTTAAAGAACCCAAGCTGCTCTTGAGAACTTCCCGAACAGCTGGATATCTGAAGACTTTGAGTGTGTTCGGCCGCACAGGGCTCTGACTGCTTGTGGTTATGGTGGACAGGGTTTGGTATGGATGAGGTGAAATATACAGACAAAGGGAAGGGGTAAAGATGTGTGAATCTCTTATATACTGACACATTAAGCATAGACAAACACAGAAGTTACAGACGAACAGAGTCACTCCGGGATGTCCCAGATACCAAGAAAGTTCAACCAAGTCCCAGCATGACTGTTTGTAACGTAGAACAAACTTCTCCAGTGGTACAGTGATGAAAAAGGCTTTTCAGTGGAGGTTTAAGTCAATATGTCACTCTGGTCTATGAGGAGTGGACCTGTCATAAATTGGTTCTTGGTTGTAAGGTGCATCCTGGACGTGTAACAAATGTTAAGTGGATATTTGACAGAGTGCTCCAACAGACTAAGCTAGCAGTGCGTGCACATGGAGAGTGCGATAGCTAAGTATGAAGATGTAGTGCAATGTTCCTGTGAACTAAAGCAGATCTATAGAAACGCTGAAGTGTCTGAGACGGCGCCGTTGCCACATAGTTTCACACAGAGCGGTCTGTGTGTAAGATCTCACGCTATTTACAAAAGCTGCCAGAAGTGACAATCCTTTTCTAGAGTGATATGGTAGAAAACTGTGGAAACTGAAGCCTGATTCCTCTAAAGGACTATGTCACACAACAACTGACTGGTCAAAGAGGACATCAAAAGGCTGTTTTCACACTGTTGGTTAGGGTGCAGATTTAGCAAGAATTTAAAAAACCTTCATAGTTTTAGGCAAACCATTCTCAAATGTGGACTTCCCTGTCAGTGTGAAAACAGCTTCAGAAGAACTCTCCCTCTTGATTTAGACTTCAACCATGTAACCATCGGATGTATGGAAATGGTCTACATTGTTGATGTAACATTGGCTTATGTACTCAACAGTTTAACATTTCCCAAGACTCCAGCCCTCCTGTGTCTTTTAATGACTTTACTATTTGCAGTGTGCTAACAAGCTAACTTAAACTGAAGCTTCCGCACTCCTGCCTATAAGACCATGAGAACATTATTTTACATTTGTGAACAGCTGACAGTAGATAAGAGACTGAGAATGTTATGAAGCATGAAGACTTCGAGCGTACTGGTAATTAAGATGTAATGGGACCATCACTTTAGAAAAACAATCCCTTCTCCTCCACCTTCTTTTCTACACTACTTTTCTGCTTCTCTGCCTCTCGGCTAGTTCCTCTACGTCTACTACATTCACAGCAGTTAACTTGCAAATATGCAAATCTTTGGGCAAAATGTGTGTAAAGTGTGCATTCAGCAATCCTGCAGCTGATAGTGCATGGACAACTGCTGTGGACAGAGAGGAGGAGATGGGGTGAAGATGGAGGAAAAGATGAATGGCACTTTAACTGTGAAGGAGGAGGGGTTTGTGACAGAGTGGATAAAATATCCTTAGGGCCTTTGCAGATAAATTGTCATTTATTTGATCTATAATCCATGAGATCAAATGAAGGGGCTGATTTAATTGTTTTTTCCCTTCAACAAATTTCACCTGTAATTTCTCGATACTAACGGTATCTTTTGTTTATTCCACATCAAATGTGTCCACTGGGTAAGGAGCGCTGGAATTGGTCCGGCTCAAAGTCCCTGTTGTTATTTTTCTCCGGACCACTCAGTTTCCCTGTGACCCAGAGCTATCTCATTAGCTGAATTGCAACCAGAGCGGCAGACCCTGGAGTGCTAATGCTAATCAGAGCTGTGGGACGGCTGCTAGTTTGCCTGGAGGACCCTGAGAGACCCAGAGCAACACTGTGACAAGAACCTGCTTCTACACAAAGAGAACAATACGGGAAATTGTATCCAAACTGACTTTGAGATCTGTTAGATGTCAAAACATTTTAATTAAAGGGGAGAAGGACATTTTAGTTGCTGGCCAGTGCTACAATTTTAATGTATGCTCTGAAATGGTATATATTCTTTATATGAACAATGTATTTAGTTTGGGGCAAACTTGTTCAATGTGTTATATATCACTGTACTGTGTGTACTTGAAGCAAATGTTTTTGTTGTTTATTAATTGTTTTCTTTTTAAAGAAGCAGGTACATTTGAATCATTATTTAATTTGAGTTTTAGGTCAATATGACACTGACTAATCCCCTCAGTTCCCTATAAAGTATATTCTCTTGTGGTTTTAGCAGCTCAGCAAATAGCACGAGTATGAAATGGTTTTGATATTTCTTATGAAAAATGTGTATTATTGATTTTATTCTGAGAAACGCATCAAGTGTAATTTAAACTATTCTGATAGAGAGGAGTTTCATTTGAGAGCGTCGTTAAATGAAGTGCAAGCTTACAGCTCTCGGACTATGAATGAATCTCATGAATAAATGAATGGATGAATTAATGAACAAATGAAGGGTCTGAACAAAACCTAATTAACAAATTGTCAGCCATTGCTTAGTTTAAAAGCATTTACAAACAGCGAAAATATCAAGCAACATTTCTCCCACACATGTTCAGCAGTTAAAAATCTGTTATCAACCCCTCTGCTGAATCCCTGCTCCCCTCACAGTATGCCTAATTGGGACACACACATACACACATATACACATTCATGCCATCAAAAGCCCCACAAAAGTGCTACGATCCCCATCCCTCTGATTGTACGTCCTGTATTGGAGGGCTCTTTCTACATCCCATTGCATGTCTCAACATATTGGCATGACTTTGCATCATCCAAGCTGAAGAAAACAACCATCGATATAGCTTTTGTAACAGAACAAAGAAATGAAATAAAAATTGAAACACTGGATTCATCTCCTAGTGGGTTGCTTTGCGCTGTATTTAGCAGAAACAGAGAGTAAGTAGAGAAAGCTGCCGCTGGACACAGAGGCCTCATATGGAGGCAGTCTCCCGCTGATCTCTCCTGAGCGGGGAGACTCTGCCCGTGGCTAAAGGGCAGTTCCACGCTGGAGGTTTTTGGTATCGATTGTTCAAAGCTGCACCATAAACCCTCTAAGGGGAGTGTTTTCACTGCTTCACCTAATGAAGTCGGGCAAGGCCAACTGGCACACTGACTGGGCACGCTGGGATGTGAAACCCCCCGCCAGCTTCAGGATCCCTGCACCCTCACCCAACTGCAGCAGTCAGCAGCAACGAGGATGTTTGCATGCGCTACAGGGCATGATGTTGGTGGTGGGTGGATGGAGCAGCAGCGTCAGTGTTGGTGTTGATGTCGGCGGTATCAGTAATGCCCAGATTGCAAGGCAAGTTTATTTTTCTGCAACCATTAAGCAAAGGAAGCAGGCGTTGTGGATGTGAGCTCCTCAAAGTTGTTGCCTCTCATTTTCAATTTTTTTCCATCAGAGATTTAAGCATTACTGATTGAGTTCAGGTCATAGATCAATTAAATGCATTTAGCTATGAAGAACCAGTAGGTGATGTTTGATTTTTGAAGAAATTAGTTTATTTACTTCATTATTTTGTTAGTTGGTGTGACCAAGCAAAATGTCCAAACAGAGACTAACTTTTCGACCACAATTTAAAATATTTAACTGTCATGATTCTGTTCATTGAGTTAGATTTTGTGCACAATTTTACCAACATAATTGATGGTGTAACCGGAACATATGACTCAAACCTCCAACAACCCAGTCTGCTTTTTCAATAATTGAAAATCTTTATTAACCAGGAGCCACATGTAATAATTCTAGTAATTATTTTTGTTTGGGCAAATACATTCTAATTCACTGTATATAGATGAAGGATAGAGAGGTTGGTGAGGATTATTGACCTGTTTTGCTTAAAGACCTGCTGTAGATTTGTGAAATATTTGGTTTACACCCTTCATTGCAACCAACACTTAAACCAGAGTTTCTGAAGTAAAATCGCTGATTAAATGAGAGGCACAAACTGTAGCAAGGGATATGTGGGTGATTGTTGGAACTGAGAACAAGCTGATTTCTCACTTCAAAAGATTGAAGTCGTTTGTTACCTCCAGCCGAGAGCTAAGATACTCTTCTACAAACAACAATTGCTAAATTCCTACTGTGAAAAAAGATCTGGGAGCAGAACATATAATTTCAGGAAGTGTGTGTGTGTGTGTATGTGTGTTAGCAATAAAGCCTGCCATGCAGTGTTTTGTTTTCCAACTCTGTTCATCAGTTAAATAATTATTTTCCTAAATCTTATTAGTCTTATCTCAAGAGGAGCCGTGAGCAAAGAAATTGCAGTGTAAGTCTGCAGTGTGTGTGTGTGTGTTTGTGAGTGTGTGTGTGTGTGTGAGTTGAAGGAGTATGTGTGGTTGTTCTGTATACAATGTGTAGTGCGAGACAGAATAGTTTTTTGTGTCGTATTTTTTCAAGTCTTTTTATGAGTTTTTTTTCTTTGTGTTCCTTTTTTAGCTGTAGAAAAAAAGCACAGATAACATAGAAAAAAATTCAGTGCAGTCAATGGATACGAAAACAGGCAAATTTGACCGGGCTGAGGTGACCGTCTCTATTCGGCACCACCACACAAAGGGTGGTTTGTGTCTTAAGTCCCACGTGAGTTACTGAAATGCAGCTCCTCATCCTACGTTCATGCCCTGCAGTGCCGCCGGAAAGATGAAATCTCAGAGTCTGTGAAAGCGCTCCAGGATGATTTTCAGAATGAACAAAAAGCGAAGAAATAAGAAAAACGGGTTCCAAGTTTTTAGCGAGTTCTCTGCCTCACTCCGGTAGAGTGCAAGACCACAAAGTGTAATGCAAGGGTTTTGTATTTCAGCTGGAGTGAATCGCAGGCAGAAAGAGAGGCATACAAAATGAAGACCTCTCTGCTCTCTGCATTTATTTTAGTCCAAAAAATACAAATCCCTTTTCCGAGAGTAGGTGTGATTGTATTTTTTTTGTTCATCCACTGGTTGCTCACAGTTGGCAGAAGCAGAGCCGGTGCACACGGGGATTAAAAGACCAACAACCCTCCCCTTCTCATCCCACACATTCTGTTGAAGTCTTCTTAGTTTTTCAGTTTTTTTCTCAAAAGCAATTCAGGGAGTTTTAAGACATTTTCTCCAAGAGAGAAAAGAACAAAGTGTCATTGTTTGTAATAACAACAATAAGAAGAATTATCATCCTCTAAGTAGAAAAAAAGGGAAGAAAGTGTCGCTGCGCATTTCTGTCAGATGGCCTGCGGAGGCGGCAGGCGTCTCAGTGAAGGTGAGAGAAGCAAACACCCACTGGAGGAGAGCCTGAGAGCTGTGGCAGCACCCGCTGACCAGGTCCCAAGGGTGCACCAAAACACCCAGATGAGCCCTGGGTTCGATTGTCAGCTATAGTCAATCCGTACAGTCTCTCTCCTGCAGATTTGTTGTTTGTTGTTGTTTTCTTCACATAGATTACTGAAGCTGACTGCGGCAGATGATGGTTTCTTATGTTTCGTGTATGAGAAACACAAAACAAACAAGAAAGTTGAGTATATGATTTTAAAAGCCGGTAAAACACGAAGAACTGACTACATGGATATTTTAAGTTTCCCCACTGAACTATCTCCTCACCTAAAGTGACTTTATGGTTTGAACACGCTGACTACAGAAAAAGAAAAAATGCGGAGTAATGTTTAAATAAGCAAGTTAAGTTTATGTTGGTTTGGCAGTGTCCAAGCCTCCAGAGCCACATGAGAGCAACTGGGATTTACCGGGATGATGCATTCAAAGACGAGTGTGTTGCGTGTTCACTATTGCAAGTGTGCGAGTGTGTAATTTTAAAGAAAAACAACAATCTAGCTACTCCTCGTATTCCTCCTATCCCCGTCTCCAATGAGAGGGCCTTCAGTCCGTTTGATCTTTACGGCCCCCTCAGATGGATGCCCTGCAGGCGTCGTTGTTTCGGACTGGTTTATGGAGGGGGTGAATGAGGCAGGCGGTTGGTAGCTCCACTGCCCATCCCTCTCTCCTCCTATCTCTTCCTCCTCGTGCTTCTTCCCCTCTCCCACTCCTTTTTCTTCTGCCCTCAGATGTGCCTCTTCATGTGCAGAGCCAGGTGGTCCGACCGAGAGAAACACCTGCAGAGAGACCAGAGAGATCATGTCAGAAATCTAACATCCAAACTATGTATGAAAAATAGAGTAAATAAGAGATATGGAATCTTTAGAGGAATCTGAATAAATGCTTGAAAAGTGCAATAGGACACTGTTGATAAAGAGAAACAGCTTAGTTACATAGTATATAATTCACAGTATGAATACATTTACAAAGACATTACAGTTTGTTGGAGATTTGCACAAAGTGATAAATAGAGCAATTCTTGTTGATCAATGTCACTGGCTATTGTGTGAATTTCCCCCTTTGTCATACCCACTGGCTTTGTTTATTTTTTGGGTAATATTCTTAATCCCAGGCCCCTCTAACCTTAAACAGTAGTGAACATTAATTCAGTATTTCCATGTGGTGTCAACTTCAAAGAGAGTTGGCATTCTGGTGGTTGGAAAGCTAAATGTCCAGTGATGCATGTGTTAGCTACATAAGCTAACTAGCCAAGGTTTGCCTAAGATACCAAAACAGACCTTGTAACACAAATATTTATCAGGAAAATCACAACTGTCCTTGCAATGTTTTTCTAGCACTTTGGGTCAAACAACAATGAACCGCTATTGATGAAGACGAAGTTTAATGATATGGTTGCTAACTTGAGCATTAAATGCTAACACAACAAACTAGCTAGCCGTGTCAGTTTGTCCTCGGGTGACAAAAATATAGACATTCCCTTAAGTATTTCCTGTGAGATATCAAGTGAGACACTTCCTGAAAAGTAGTCTGCAATGGCTGCTAGACATTTCTATAAAGTCATATTTAACCAAGCCTTGGAAAGCGTAAAGTATAATTTCCACACGAATAATAGTGTTCATGGATTAACACACACAGTGTTATGGCAGAGAACAGGAACGCTTTTTTAACCACTTGATCTTAAATAAAGTGATTGAAGATAGTTGAGTAATAGTCTTACTTTATTATGTCACAAAGTAAAACTCAGACATATGGGCTAACTCAGGCTCAGTGATTTTGACTCAAACACGACCATAGATCACAGCCAGACCTCCACCGCTCGGTAGTCAGTCCTCAAGCTCCGAGAAGAATACTATTGTAGAAACTAATTAGATATGCATCGTGAACATGGACACTAATGCAGACAGTCTGGCAGTACTCTCTAATGCCGGGCCATTTAACTCAGCAGTGACTGCACCTGGTGTGGGAGAAATAAAATCAGGTGCTGGGGATGTGTAATATAAGAGTCGCAGTTTCACAAGTATTTTAATTTTATGACCCCATTGTGAGAACATTAAACTGAACAGGACCAATAAAATGAATCACAAATGATATGACTAAAGGAGAGGCCAAACAAAATGTGGGCAAGAATAAAATGAGAAATAAAAAATTCTATTTGCCAGGGGCCTTTATTCATTATTAATCAATCAAGGCTATTCCATGTGTGTGTGTGTGTGTCTTTATCCAGAGACAGAGCTGAAAACCCAAAAGTACAATAGAAATGTTGTTCACGCTGCAGCACAATTTGCTGTCTCACATATGCTTCTACTGTGATTCATACATTTCCTCAGGGAACCCCATTGTTTAGACTGCAACAAGCCAGGACAATAAGGTAACAAGTCAAAAAGCTGAAACTTAAAGACAAAATTAACATTTACAACCCTTTTTGGAGCTTTCACTGCAAAATTATAATGATACGTTTCCTCATGAATTCAACTGAAAGGAGATCTCTGACAAGCAGGATGAAATTATTGTTAAAACCTTGAAATACTCTGAAGAAAGCTGCTATTATCTGCATATATTCAGTTGTACACCTTCATTACACATGTGACATTATCCGCCTGATTGAAGCTACAGAGAAATCATCTGACACACCAAATGTATTTTAGTGGTGGTTAAAAACCTCCACCCTCTCCTCTGGTGGTTTCAAATAAAACTGAAAGCTCATAACAGCACCATCTTTTGGAAGTACTTTATTCTTCATAATGTTACTCATTATCCTTGGTGCCTAAGGGTTTAACGAAAGATTCAGATTTCAAAGCATTACAATGAGAATGGTGTGTGCAGTTCAGTTGACCTTTGCTCTCATTTCTGTTCTCTGTGAAATATTTTGGTTTTTCCTCAACCCTATGCTGACCATGTGGTACCTACTGTACACCTTTGTGTGTGTGTGTGTGTGTGTGTGTGTGTGTGTGTGTGTGTGTGTGTGTGTGTGTGTGTGTGTGTGTGTGTGTGTGTGTGTGTGTGTGTGTGTGTGGCTGGACAGATGGCCATGCCAGTTACTGTGTCACCGTTGGGACCAGCTGGTACCACCCTGACCCCCCCCAAGCCCACTCCTCCTTCCTTCCCATCCTCCACTCTTCCTTCCCAAAACTCTCCCTTCTCCTCCTCCTCACTTCTTTTTGTCCTCCTCCTCATCACTCCTCCTCCTCCCGGCTCCATGGAAACATCGGGGGGTCCCCGCTTGATTAGGCAGGATTAATGACAGACTGCAGTGTGTGTGTATGTGTGTGTGTGTGTTTCCCCAGGAGAAATTGTGTCATATTGAACAGTCTATCTAATGTTAACCTCTCCATGGCGGCCACTTTTTGCTATTCTCATGGTAATATTTGTTGGGCTCCACCCACCACAGATGTGTGTGTATGTGTGTGTGTTTTACTGTAAAATGTGAGGTACATCCTGGCTGTGTTAATCGTGTTTCCATCCACTTTGTAATTCAAGAATTAACAAACCTAGAGGGAAATATTGGAAATGTGTGAAATGAGACTAAAGATTTTAGACAGCAAGTATTTTGAATTGCAGCTAGTAGCATTAATATTGTCAGAGACTGCGTAAAACTTGAAGTTTGATGTTGCTCTGAAAAAGTTTCTCTGGTTTTATCTCTTCTATGCTAGTTTATGTCTATAACATGTCTGAAAATTGTGAAAATGATCCATCTAGCTCCTCAAAATCCAAGATGAGGTCTTTAATCGTTTGAGAATCGAAAACACAAAGATATTAAGTTAAACATAATTTAAACAACAAAACGTTGGAAGTTTCATATTTGAGAGACTGAAATATACATTATTGCCATTTCTGAATGAAAATTCAACTGATTGAAACAATTAATAGATTATAAAAAATGTGCACTAATCTTGCAGCTCTAGTAGGAATACATCTTAAGAGTCTACAGTCTTCTGATGAAGGGAAGATGTGACATAGAGATAAAACACTGCCACCAACACTGTCAATCGAAAACATGAAAATAAAACGCTGAAGCCTAAAATAACTTCTTCCACTTTGATACTCTTTCAGATTACAATACAGACTTTGATGTACGCAGAGCCTCAAATATAACACGGCCTGTATCTGTGTCATTGTGTATTTAAGTGTGTCATTGTTTTGTCTGGACCTTTAGATGCTCATGTATGACTTTGCAAACGTCTCTGCGTTCTGCATGCACAAGTGTGTGTGGGTCTCTACACACTGTGCATCTGTGTGTGTGTGCCAAGAAGGAGCTAATACAGTCCCAGCTCTCAGCCAGGATTAGAAGCTTCCAGCAGGTTTCTGGAGGGTTTTATGTCTAAAACCCAAACTAGAGGGAATCCACAACAGCCAATTACACTGCCTCTAGGGCAAACGCGTGTCTGTGTGTGTGTGTGTGTGTGTGTGTGTGTGTGTGTGTGTGTGTGTGTGTGTGTGTGTGTGTGTGTGTGTGTGCGTTGCTCATCAGAAACGTAGTGCAGGCACACACACACTCTCACAGAGTGTTTATGTTAAAGTGGAGCTGGCATCTGGTGCCACTCAATTAGCTGCGACCAGTCTGCCAATAGCCAGAATCCATTTAACTGCCAGCAAAGGGGCATGAGTAAGCGCGCACACACGCACACAATACCCACACGCATACATACTCCCCTGGCTTTTGTCCATAAGGAGATTAGTTTGCTTTCATTTTGAAACACACAACCCATCATCCTTTTTTCTACCTTTGTTTTACGCAGAGGTCAAACTGCGTTGTGTTGCAGTGAAAAAACAGATTGACAGAAGATCAATAAGTAAAATGTTCCTCCACTGGCAGGACAACATGACTAGCAAGCTAATAATAAGCCCATATCTAAATAACATTTACATGCATTCCTATGGCTGCAGGAAAACGGGAATCCATTAGGAACTTCATTTAGATAATAACTTTTCTTATCATTAAATTGACTGCACTACAAGCTACAGTCTTGAACCTTTATTACTCAGGAGTCCAGATAAGAAATCCCCTTAGATCCTCCTGCACAGCTGCTGCAGGAGGAAATGTGTTTAAGGAAAAATGATCACATCTCTTCTAAATTTCACAAGGGACTCACATGCAGTATTTAGTCTCGAAAAGTCCTGAATTCTGTAGAATCCAATTTTGTACACTTCTCTTTTCTTTTCATGTGTTCTATCTTATCTTATAAACGTTTTAAACGTTTATTTAGAAGATAAAAGGTGAAGACTTCACCCTGGGATGTGGAGAATTTGGATGGACATTTCTATTTCTTTTTCTTAAAATATTTTAATGACGTAATTGAAAATAAAGGCCTTCTTCACAGTAGACCTTTGGACTAAAGTGCACAGGTGTTACAAATAACATTAATAATCATTAGTGTCCAATTAGCCATCACGGACAAAACCAGGACCCTGAACTGAAGCACCCTCGTAAATTGTATTATTCACACCTGAGCTTCTCCTTCTGTGACAAGTCCGTTTTCTGTGAAAAAGGCCTATGACAAATGTTTTCGACTTCTACTTGAGAACAAATGCAGGTTTAAAAATGACAGATAAAGGGCACCAATGTCCCACAAATGTAAAGTTCACTTCATGTTTCTCACAGTTTTTGTTGATGCCTGTGTGTTTACCTGTCGCAGTGGTTGCACTTGAATGGCTTCGCTCCGGTGTGTTTGCGGTAGTGTCGTGTCAACTCGTCACTGCGGGCAAAACGCCATTCACAGCCCTCCCATGAGCACTTATAGGGCTTCTCACCTGAGAGAGAGAAAGAGAGAGAGGAGAAGGTGTCACATTTTATTATAATTTCTACATCTAATTTCACACGTCTCAACTACAGCTGTTCACTAATATAAATATAACCACCCCTGGCTTTTTCCAGACACACACACAGCCCAGGGGCCGGGCAGGCAGACCATCTTTAACGCAACAGCCATTTCAATGAGCCAATATACTCAATTAGTTGTAAATGAAGTCTTTCAGCACTGCGGCGTGTTAATTCACAATCCTAAATTCACCCTGAAATGAATCTCGTTTTGTTCACGCTATCAGAACGCCCCCTCCCCTCACACACACACACACAGCCACACACACACCCTGAGGTGGTGGGATCTGAAATGTAAATGAAGTTTCATCCCCCACTTCACCAGATGGGAGTAGAGATGGTGTATTGTTCTCAGCCTGTAGTTATCTCTCCGTGATAGAAAGCCTTCCAGCTGTGTGTGCGTGTGTGTGTCTTCTAGCTAGAGGTGTGTGTGTGCGTGTGTGTGTGTGTGTGTGTGTGTGTGTGTGTGTATGTGTGTGTGTGTGTGTGTGTGGGAGCAGACTGTCTTCAGATGATGTCTGACTGCCTGTTCAAGAGTGAATTTCTCTCTGAGGTCTATATGTGAGATGAGCAAATAAATCAGGAAAATCATATACTAATCTAAAAAGTAAGACTATATTAGAACTGAATTTAAGAATATATAAGTTAACAGATCTATGAAAACACAACTCATATTATATTATGTATTATACTGCAACACTGTACTGTGGGTTAGTGCTACACATTCAACACCCTCCAGTTCAGAGTCTTTAACAAATAAATGTATTTTCTGCCACAACCTCGTTTGTGCATATAGCTGGTGTGTTTAATTTGAATTTGGACGAGTTCATTGTACTAATTTGAATGCGTTGGGTTTGAAAAATTGTTAATATTCACTTAAGCCAAAACATTTCTAGTCTTAAATTGGTAGAGCAGTAGCAACAACAACCTAATCTTATCCTCTATCTTGACAACAAAACAGTATAGGATGAACTTGTTTGCCTACATTACAAAGTAATCTACCAGTAGTGTGCACATATTGGATTGGCCGAAGCCAAGTATAGCTGGCTGATTTTGCAAAGCTTTTGCTGCAAAGTTGAACCACAGCACACTTTAAATCTGGCCAAACATCACTGCAGACCCCTTGTGTGTGAGTGTGTGTGAACTGGGAGGTGGTAACCATAATTGGGGTCTAAATGATTCTTAATGGGGAGTGATACAGCAGTTAACAGTCAGTTAGCCAGATGTCCCAGCAGCCCAGCTCCACTGCCATCACAGCACACACAAATCTTCTTAAGGAGACAAACACAAACTCAGAACAGTCGAAAACAAAGTGGAACTAATGTGGCAATTGTGAAGTATTCCACATTGTGATGGAAACATAATTGGATACAATAAAAAAAGATGTGTCACAAGTACCTCCATTTTTAATCAGGATTGAAAATGAAAATGAAACTCAACCCTGGCACAAAACTCATTTATTTAAGTACAACCTGGGTCCAGTTCTCTGCATTGCAACCCAAAAAGATTTTCAGAGATTCAACCAGGTCTACTGTTGAACTCACTGAGTATGGCTGTACAACTTATATCATGTATTTATGTATTTATAAAGAGAATTAGATAGAGAGCTGGGCTCCTGCTCATTCCTATGGAAGTAGCTCAGTGGTGCTAAAATGTCTCGACTACCAAGTGATATATTACAGGGATTTCCACATCCATGGGTTCTGAAGAGCAAGCACTCTAATGATCTGTATTCACCAAATGTTTGAAAGAATCACTTTTAAAATGTTAATACTCGAAAATGGATTTACTTGGACCCAATGTAAGCCCATAGGGAAAAGTATTTTACACCCCTATGGCATCATGTGCTTACCCGAATGTTGGAATTACACATTTGGGCCATTTCAAAATCTGGCTTTGAAGCCGAGTGCTGTTCCTTGTAGCTCGACTGAAATGTGTTTCTGTGTTTGGAAGACATTTTTTTTGCCAATCTGAACTGTTTTGGTAACACCAAAAAGGCATCTTCTTGAAACCTGATAGAATACACTTATTTATTTATTTAAATACAACTTTCAATGCAGATTGAGCTTCCAATTTATCTTTTTGTGCTGTTTACCTATAATTCCCTCAACCATAGCACGGGAATAACTTCTCCATCCCATACCAACAAGTGTGAGATTGCTTTTCCCTCTTGAATAATCGTGCCAGAATAACCAAAGCTGTAGAAGAACACCTTCACATGGACTTAAATCTGAGCTGAGAGCAGCTCTGACAGCAAGGTGATGCAACGACAGGTAAAAGATGATGTGCTACAGGAACATCCAACTGTGAGTGATGCCCTCTCTCCCTTTATTTCCCATCACTTCCTATGTCTCTTTGATCTGAGCAGTTTTGTAACCACACAGACAACGTGACCGCAAGGTGACGCACTCGTTCTCGGATTGAATTAATTTAGGATCCTGAGCTATGCTCTCCTGGATTTGCATATTCAAATTCTCCAGTCAAATCTTGTGCTGTCGGTTGCTGATTTCCCCAACAGGGACTTGGGTTTTGTCGATGTCCCGTCATTGTGATTTTTTGGAGACACACTTTCCTCTGCAACCTCACACAGTCTCGAATGTTTTGGGGTGCAAGACCTCTCCAAGCTAGCCTCTGTCACTGGCTTTTCCATGGGTTTTGTCATCAAGTTTTTCCTTTATTGGTCTTTTAATAGCTGAAATATTCTCTACACAAGTCTGTTTTGGTAGTAAAACTGCACATGTAAAAAATAATAATAAGAGGAACCAGTTGAAGTGGTCTAAACACCAAATAAGACTCACTTTGGAGGATAAGGATGGACTTAGAGGAAAGAGCTTTGGGATCTGACTGGAGAAAGTGTTTATGCAGCCAAACAGTACATGCTGTATTGGCACTATAAGCATGACCAGGACAAGTACATTGAACCTGTTAGGATGGACTATCAATAGAGTCCAACTAACACTGGATATTTAAGTCCAACATCAAATCAAATCAAGTTTTATTTATAGCACATTTATAAACGATTTTTGGTCGAGCCAAAGTGCTGTACATATAATAAAAATAGCCTACAGTAGAGACACTTTACAGCTAATACAACAGCACAGTTTGTTCAGAATATCAGTAGGCCTATGAGAAAAACGACACCCTCTATCCTTAGTCCCAATACTCCATCTCAATACTTGAGAATCATAAAGAGTGGTTCCTATTCTCTCTTTTTTGGCTGAACCAGATCGGATATGTCTGAGCTAGAAATGTACACTTGAAAAATGAACCATACTGTTGATACTGTGGGTAACTTAAGTCTAGTCAATATCATTTGAGAGCCACACATTCATACTTTGCTGTTACTCAAACATGTATTTCTACCAGACTGATTGGCCTGCTGATGTTTTCGGTTGGGCTCTAATGGTCTAATGGATTTAATCGGTATTTCTCTACTTCTGTTATTTCTAATTCACCTCAATAAAGGCCTTTAAAAGACATGAATTAAGACAAGAGCCACTTAGACTGCCACACTTTTTTCCCGGTACATTTAAAGTAAAGAATTGGCAAGCTACCCAACTGAGAAGGTACAACAGTAATGCCCCCAATTCTCTAGTAGAGCTTTAAAGCAGATTTTCGTCTAGTTCTGTAACGAACTAAAAATCCTCCATGTTGAGTATTCAGCAGCAGTATCTGAATGTGTGAATCCTCCTACTCACTCCTCAGAGGCTCAGGACTGAATACAGGACCAATATTTTCAACATACAATAGCAAACCACTTGGCAGCTTATCCTGTTTGAGAAAAGCTACACTCTCAACCTGCCTGTGTGTGTCAGTGTGTGTGATATGGGGTATGAGTGGGGGCGCAGGTGCCAGACAGGCGGCCGTTTCACACTCGTCTTCAGTAATTGGCCACAGAACCCCATCTTCCTTCAATAGGACCCCCCTCAAACATTCACACATACATGCTATAACACACACATACATGCTATAACACACACACACACACACACACACACACACACACACACACACACACACACACACACACACACACACACACACACACACACACACACACACAGACACACACACACACACACACACACACACACACACACACACACACACACACCACACACACACACACACACACACACACACACACACACACACACACATACACACACAGTTGGAGGAATGAAGCAAGGCCAGCTCAGACCTGACGCCACAGCAACCATGACGCCAGCCAATTATAGCACGGCAAGGCAAGGATGCGTGATAAAGTCACCTAGCAACTGAGAGAAAGAGAGAAGGGTGGTGGGGGTGGGCGAGAATGTGTGTGTGTGTGAGAGAGAGAGAGAGAGAGAGAGAGAGAGAGAGAGAGAGAGAGAGAGAGAGAGAGAGAGAGAGAGATTAACAGGCATGGACAATCAGCCAGGCACCAACCAATTATGGAGGAGTGTGATGCAGTTGCTTGGCAACCCAAAGTGAATGAGCAAGTGGGAGAGAGTGAGAGAGAGCAGGTTGGAGGTTGGTTTAGTAGAGGGGTGTGTGGAGGTTTATATGTGAGTGGAGGTCTTGGGTTAGCAGGGTTTTTCCTCAATCCTCATGAGGCTGTGGCACCTGCTGAGGGGGGGGGGGTCAGGTTTCAGGAAGTCAACCTCTAGCTGGGGTTTTTATTTTTTTGTATTTTAACCTATGAACTATATATGAAATAATTGTACAATCTTTATATAATTGTACATATAAAGCCATTTTGAAAACGATGTGTCTGATTTCAATGTTTTTGTTTTGTTCTACATCCCAAACCTGAAACTTTCTTCAGCTAAATAAACCTTTAACGTGACCAAGAAACCTGCATTAATTATTGTCAAAATGTCATTATCACTGTGAGGTAATTCAGTGCAGTCATTTAAATATGCATATAATCTAATTATTACAAAAATCAAAA